AGAGGCGGACGAGTTCCGAGGTCGCATCTTGGAGGGGCCAAAAAGTCGAACCAGTCGTCCTTATCAATAAATCGATATCGGGGGATATTAATAATTTCCTATTTTTTTTCTTTTTTTTTTTCCAAGAGAGAGGTCGCTGATAAGTCGAAATTGACATCCGAAAAATCTAGCCAGTCGCCGATATCAATAATTCTATATCGAGAGATATTAATAATTTTATATATTTTCGCTTTTTTTCTTTCGCCTGAATATAGGTGGACGTCGGGTCGAGGTCGACACCCCAATTGTTGCACATGCTCGGGTGCCGATCCCAGAGTACAGAGCACGAGAGAGCATGGACCCAAGCCTACCGCAGCCTCCGGAAAAAAGTCTCTCATAAAGCGGAGAACAAAAAGGGGCCTCCTGGAGGATGCGACACCTGGTCCTGGACCAGTTAGGGGGCCCGCTGTCATTAGGGCCCCGTGACACTCCTTAGCCGGGTCTCATCAGGATCGGTGAGAGGCTCCTACGTGCCCCCGAAAGTGCTATTCTAATTTGTCTCACGAGGTGTCACGCCTAGGCTAAACGCCGGAAGTCGGAGGACCAAGAGTCGCATACATTAGAGGAGGAGCCTCCCCTCGGAATCCGTAATGAAGTGTGTGAACTTGAACTCGTTCCCGGTATGACGCAATTAAATCGGCCCGAGTATGCAAATTCCCCCCCCACGGGGCACGTCGCCCCCCGGAGCAGTTCGCCATTGACGACCTCGCCATTCTCTGGACTCGTTTTTGGACCAACCGCTTGCATTCGAGTTCGTTAGGCCTAAATGGGCCGAAGATGTGCTCGAACGAGAATTTTGGATTCCTGACGTCGACAATGAGGTCCCTTTTTGAAAATAAAAGAAGGGGCCGGGGGAAATGGCGCGACCCCTCGAGGTAACAGAGGCGGTGCAACCTGCAACGCTGCAGCTGAATGCATCGATTCGTCAATAGGGTTCGATGGGGATGAATTCCATTGATTGGTTCGATTCACCCCGAGGGATCACCTGCGAGGCCACACCTGACGCCCTACCTGTCGAAGGGCGGAGGTCGACGGTCGCACCTTTAATCTCGCCTGGTCGACAGGTGAAAGTGCATCCCTTGGGAGAGATCATTTCCCCGGGTAAAATCCGGCCAAAAAATACAGAAAAAGTATGAAACAGCCCGCGATAAAAATCCCAGCGAGTCACCTGACAAAGGGGAGGGTAAAACTTGGCATCCCCGATATCTCTGAATTCTAATCGATGACCCCCCTTATCGATCGGCTGCTCCAGGAGCGAGGAAACCGCTGCGGGAACCGCGGCATCCCCGATGGACCATCAGGAGGTGGCCGATTACCGGGGAATATGCAATTAATAATTTCGATACGGCATCGATAATCGATACTTAACCCCCGCCCTTCCCTGGAGCGGTAGCGGGCATCGAGAGTGGAAGGGGCCGACTCGCCGTAAACGCGATAATCGGCCCATCGGGGATAATTAATCGATCGGTTTATAGGCGGGAACTTCGGAGGCCCTCGAGATTGCCGGAGAGAGAGAGAGAAGGGGTCGGCGAGTTTCCGAGTTTCCGGGATTTTTAATTGAAAATGAAAACCCCGGGTTTCATCCTCGACCCTCGAGTCGCTCGCGGAACCGCTCGGCGGAATTCCGCGTTTCCACGACTTTTCGCCGCCACTCCTCCGCGATGTTAATTAGACAAACTCCTTTTGACTCTCCACCCCTCGGCGGAACTCTTTCGCCCCGTGAGATAATTGAAATTAATTCCTCCAAGGACCTCTCCTCGTGCACGCTCGCTCGAGGAATTTCCTTCCCTTTTTATAGCCACTTCGTCCTCCCTCTTTTTGCGACACAGCCGACCTTATCCTCGCTATCTCGATTCGCCTCGGTGGAACGAAACGGTCGACCCGACCGAGGGATCGATTGTCATCGTTAAGGATCCCCGTAATTACCGCTAATGCCAGAGAGGTCCTCCCTAATGACGGAACGACGCGGTCCTGTCATCAAGCCCGCAATTACACGTTGTCCAGGACGAATGGCCGATTCCTATCGCCGAAGATCGGGATAATCGCTCGTCCTCTAATTCCAAATTGATTGTCGCTCTTCCTCTCACCTGCTTCACCCTGACCTCCTCAACGGAGCCCTCTCGCGGGGCGAAAATAAAGACTCCTGAATATTAAATATCGCGTAGTCTCGTCCTTTATCCCCGAAATTTATTCCTTCCTAACCGAAACTCCCAGCCAGGACCTCCGAGCCGGGTGATGCGATTCCGGGGAAATGTATCCGCCATTGTTCGACCTGGACCCGCGACATAATGAGAGCGTATTCTTTCCGCGGCCGATCCTGCTCTTCCCCGAAGTCCGCACCCTGGAGACGACGGCCTGCACCTCTAGGAAGCCTTCTCCAGCCCCGAGACAATGCACCAAGATCAGGTTACCACTTTTAATGGGGATGATCCTAGCCCCCGGTCTTACCGGTGGCCTTAGAACAAGAGGGGAGGAGATTGTCTCGAATTGGCAAAACTCCACGTGTATACGTGTTTAATATATATTTCTCTTTTAAATCCTGCTATTATCCCGATTTGGCAAAAATCTACACGTGTACGTGTTTGATCTACCGAGTTGTTGGAAAACTCATGACGCATCTAAGTAACGGATGGCGTAGAAAAAATCCGTCATCACTTTTCCTCAGACTTTCCCAGGAGGGAAACATAAAAATATTCAGATTCGGATGAAAATCCGAGCTTTTGAGGAAACGAGAGGAGCTGTTTTTTGGGTTAGGACGCGACGAGGGCGCAGGTCGGAATTCGTCCGGCCTCGTCACCGGGGAGGCGGAATAAAGGAGAGGGAAAAAAATATATATAGGGAGAAGGAGAGACAAAGGTGGATTCGGAGAGGAGTCGACGAGCGAAACGCAACCCCCTCGCCGGATGCGCGTCGTCACGAGATCCGACTGTCAACCCTCGTTGTTTTTTGCGCCGGCCCTAATAATTGATCATCTGATTACGCAACATTATACCGAGTCCCCGAGTCGGGGCCCGGCGACGTATCCGGAGCATTATTCGCCGATCTCGAAAAAATGTCTCCCTCTTCCAGGAGCCTCCTTCCCGGGGGGACGCCATTTGCATGCGGCCCCCTTACGGACAAACACAGAGAGCACCCCTTCGTAATGAGGGGCCCCTCTGTTTCTCGACCCCCGAGTCTCGGCCCTATCTCGCCGGATTGTTTGCACAGAGGTCCAGAAACGCGTCCTCCTCCTTTCTGCATGAAAATCAGGAGAAAAGTTAGGTTATATCGCACTAGGCGAGGACTCCCCATCGAACCGCCCCAATTCTGCCTCGAAATTCAGACTAGGGTGCAAGAGGACTCTGAGAAATGACCCAGGAAGTCTTAATCCGACCTCGAGGGGATTCCGAAAACCCGGGTTTTGTTAAGTTAGGAGACGCCGATCGGGCAGATGGAATCGCGCCTAAGCGACGGGAATAATTAATGGCGGGCCGATTGTCGGGAATCGAATTGTCGTTAATGCGGATAATAATAAAGATCGGCCGAGTGAGCGCCGGTATAACAGTAATAACGTTAATAGCCAGCGGGAAAGGGCGCATCGCTCGGTAGTCGGCTCGGCCAATCGGCCGAGTTAGCCGACCGGACGCCATGATTATGGTCTTTAAAAACGAGTTAGCCTACACGAGGAGTCGGGCATTCCTCCGCTCTCTTTCCCTTTTCCTCCTCTCGCCCTCGAGTACGTGAATTACACCGGCAAGTACGACCGTACGCGCGTAATTCCGCCGTATTACGGCTCTAATTATCCGAACGTAGGGCCCCAAGATGGCGGCCAAACGACCGGGAAGAGCCGCTCGGTCGCTCGGAAGACGCGGAAGGAAGGGGTTGGTTTTCGGGCATCTTCGCCGGGAGATATACCAGGACCGGTTCGCGGGCGGGGCCCGTTCGTTAATTCGGGCCCGACCGATCGTTACAGGCTTCGTTACACAACTGTCGGGATAATCTGCGGCGAGAATCGAGACTCGAGCCGCGATGCCCGTGGCGGGCCCAAGGCAGGTGCTCCTCGCCGGGGAATAATTAATATTCACCGAGCAGCGGGCCCAGTGGGCCCCGAGAGGAGCCGAGCAAGAGGAGGGCCCTAGGCCCTTGTAACAGTTAACGCGTTAGCGGTTATAATAGTTGGTTAACCAACGATGCCCGACACCTGGCACCCCTGCCCATCTTTAGACGGTCTGCCCTCACCGATCGGGCCCATTTCGGGAGGGCCCGCTACGTTTCGCCAGATTTCTCCTAACCGCGTCCGAAACGTTTCTAAGGTTCGGAAATCCCGAAAATCCTGGACCTTCCTGGCATTGAAAGGATCGCGGGGCCTTACGTGCCCGCGAATAAGGCCCCGACTCCACCTGAATTTCATCCTGTTTTTGACACGTATTCTTAAAAACAATATCGACTTTGATCGATCTCGAACACTGAAATGGCACGTAAGGCCCAATCGACCGAGGCGGGAGTCCCAGGTAATCCGCGGATTGGGACTTACTCCTTTTTTTTTTCTGGGGGAAGCATCCTGTCTTTGCGAGAATTAACGTCTCGACCGATCGCCGATGGAATCGTCACGCAGAATGTAATCGAGCGGAGCGTGTAAGTCCCAGTAATCCCGTGAAAGGGAGAAATCGGGCCCAGTCGGGACTCCTGGTCGCTTCGGGGCCCGATTTGTTACTCTTTTATCGGTGTGATCTCTCGACTTCGAGTCCAGAGCTCGTCGAAAAAGAAGAGCGACCTAAACGGGCCCAATCCCTTGGGGCCCTAAGGCCCCGCCGTAAAATTCCCGGAATATCCCCCATTCCTCGGTTACTTTCGAGAATCGAAATCTCCCGGAAATGTCGCGGGCGTGTAAAAAAAAAATTGCATATCAGTCTCAGACATATCAGGGACTTTTCTTTAAACCTTTTCCTCCTACCTTAATGCCCCTCTACTTGGGTTTTCAGGTACGAGGCGGTGCGCCTCATTTTTCGAGAAGTCACCAGTGTCTACAGAGAGTCGGAGATCGACTGGAAGCTCGTCCACGACGCCGGGTGTACCAGAGACGATACCGATCTACCCCATCACGTGACCGCCCCAAACGATCTCAGCCGCCTCATCTCGGGAACCTTCAGATCCTTCCTTGCGGCCTTACCAGCCCCACCCACGATCGTAACGATCGCCAGGTGAGTCGAGATCGTCCGCAGATAGATCCGAATCGAGCGACGTTAATCCAAGATGGCCGCCAGCTATTGGGATCGAATTTCGGAAAATCTGATTTTTCAGGAATTTATCGGGAGGAAATTCCCCTCGAGTGATATGTATTTTTTCGTATTGTTAGGGTGGATTTCAATGGATATCGCGAAAGGAAATCGTGATTTTGAGTTATTTATGGTTTTCTACTTCGCGACAAGGGGAGAACTTTCGGGGGATATTTAGAAGGTTCGCCGGTCTGTCCACAGATGGCGCGGCGAAAATCACCAGGTGCCAGGGGAGGGCACGAGGGACGGTCTCGAAGGGTGGGTTTAGGGCGGTGGAGGTATAGCTAGGCACCACCCCCTTCGACGTAGGGTAGTTCATGGCGCAAGGGGTGGACAAACTCGGGACCTAAAGCCTCGGCGCTCCTCCGCTAGATGTCTCTCGGGAATTATTTTCGAAAATTCTACAAACGTATCCTTCATCCCCTACGCGACAACCCCTAAAAATTGACGAGATCATACATGTATCGCCCATCGAAACCCCGATTGTAGAAAAAAAAAGAAAAAATCGCAACGCCTACCTGTGCGATATAAAATCTACCGAAATTGGCTACATCTCTGATAATATCCCCTACGATAAGGGATGGCAGCCCTACGGCAGAATTTGGATTAATTTGTGATTAGTTGCGGCAGATTTTGATAAAGGCGTTGAAAAAAAATCCGGGGACGATGCCGATGGCGCCATCTCTCGAGCTGGTCGGAGCACTCGGTCGAGCGAGGGGTGACATTAAAAAAAAAATCGATCCACCCCTGCGCGCCGGTCCTCACCCCTCCCCAATGGCGGCACCCCTTCCGGGAGGCGAAGGAACACCGCCGGATGTCGCCTCTGCCCGCCCCGAGCCTCTCGATTCCCTTTCCAAAAAGAAACCCTGGTCTGACATTTGCATCCCTCTTGCAGGTCCTGCGAGGACGACTACTGCCCCGTAGAATCCGTGGACCAGATCCAGGTCGGGGTCCTGGACGAGCTGGAGCAACGACTGGGTGCCATCGAGACGAGACTCGTCTACTTGGAGGAGGAGGCTAACTGATTATCTCTGTAATTTCTATTTTATCAGCTCTGGATTTTCAAGCTGTATTTACAACCCTTGTCTTATCGGAACCGACCAATAAACTGCCCCGAAAAATTGCAACCGAATTTTCTTCCCTTGTCAGATTATTTCGTTTTATTCTTCTTTTTTCTTCGGAATCTCGTTAATGGGAGGCGAGCTAACCTAAAAATCCAACAATAAGTCGAGTCCAAGGCCGACTCGAACGAGGTCCATGGTGGCACCGGCCCATAATGGCAGCCCTACGCACAATGGCTCGTGAATCTTGGCGTCCTTCTTCTCCTTCCTTTATTTTTTGCAGGCCCTCGGCCGGTATTTGCATACCTTAGGGCCGGTTCCCACACTGCTCGGCTCCCTTCCCTACGGATTCCCGTTTCCTCTTCCTCCTCGTGGCGCAACCCTTTCAATCGAAGACAAACGGACCCGCAAAAAACCTCTTTTGAGAGTACACTTTTTCTTCTCCCCCGCTTTCCACAAAGAGTCCGCGTGGGCGAAGCAGATTTTCTTTGCGAACTTTTTTTCCGGCTCCTTATTCGACAGACGCGCTATACGGGGGAAGGGTTGAAGGGCGGAAAAGGGGGCGAAGGAGAGGAGAAAAGGAAATGTATGGCGGGAATTACGGGCCTAGGAGTTTGGCAAGTTTCGGGCCCGGCGAAATTGCCGGGCGGGAAAGCATTAAATGTTTTATAAGCAACTCCTTTGGCAAGCAAGAAGCGTCGATCACTTTCGAGCAGGGGGTTGAATCCACCCCGGAGGGCAACCCCCTTATGTTAATGACGGGGTGGTCCGGTTTCGTCCCTCGAGGAAAAAAATGTCAGGTGGTCCGACCTCGCCTTTGGACGAGGAAGGACGAGCTTCGGGGTCAAGGATCACGGAATCAGCTGACTCCGATACGAGCCCAAAAATCATATCTCTTGATAACACAACATTCAAACCCACCCCCGGAGCTTTAATTCTCGATTTTTAATACTAAGGTCACAGCTTCGCTTCCCAAGGAACATTCCTAAGTACGTATATTAAACCCAGGCCCCAGGGGTGGCACGGACCTGGGATTCGTCCTTTGAAAAAAGGCCACCCCTTAAATGAGCAACGCACCCCAACCGCCCAGGATTTGCATAAACGCGGAAGTAAAAAACAGGAGATAGACTAATGCCGTTTGCACCCTTGAACGATGGGCAAAAGGCCAGCGGCACCCTTCGACTTTTAAAGGGACCCCGTACCGAAACTCACCCCCGATCTCGAGATGAAGACGAAACACCCCGAATGAATTTTTCCTATTTTCACATTTTAGCCCTCGACATTCCGGAGGATCCAGGAAATGTGGGGTAAATTTCCTTCACCCTTAAGGGTGTCGAGAGAGAAGCGACGTGGAAGAGGGGCGACCGCGCATCTGCGTGACGAAAGCGATCTCCGAGAAAATATGGAAATTTCAGACTGCGCGAAGGGTTAAGGGGCCAGAGGGGTGGTTAATGCGCGACAAAGCCAATTATACCGCGGAAGGGGGTGCGACAGGGGGTGCCCCTTGGACGTTGCGTGAGACTCCTTTGGTGCGGTGTCTTTGTGCGTAGGTCCGCACCCCGCGTGCCCATAGGTGTCCCCAGAGAGGAGGACGCGAGACAACGCGATGGGCGGAGAACCGACCTGGCCATTGTTCGAGGGCGCTATTTGTATTTGTTCGCCGGCCTTTGTTCCGGAATTCGGGCCCTGGAGGGGAGGGGATTTCGAGAAATATTCCACGATGGGACCGCTAGTCTCGAAGCGGCCGCTCGGCGACGCGCTCGCCTTCCCCGCTCGTCCACTCGAGTCCAGTCGATTAATTTAATTTCCATCCCCCGTCATTTAAAGAAAAGAAAAAAAAAAAGTAACATTAACATCGATAAGAATATCAAAGAATAAACACACCGGGAAGAAATTCAAAGACTCGCTGCATCTCCGTTTCGACGCGCCATTGGCACAAATCGTCCGGGAGCAATTTTCAATATTTTGGCCGCCTCTTTTTTAATTTCGTGTCGATCGGGGGTGACATGTCGGAAGGGGAAACGTTTCTCCGTGCAATGGGGTATTCCCGAGTGATTTCGGGATGCAACCCTTTCGCCAATCCCGGGGATGCGTCGCTGCACCCGCGAGTCCCCATTCGCCCGATCCCCGATCCGCTGCCGGCTATTCGTACGCCCCTGGACCCTCGCCCGTGGACGCGTGCACGTGTGTGCCCGAGTGCATACGTGCACTTCTCGAGTGCGCGTGGATGCGGCTGTGTGGGCGAGTGCATCCCGTGCAGCGGATGCAGCCGCGAGTGGTCAGTAGCTCGCGACCGACTGACCGTTCGACTGCAGTCATCCCTCGGCCGCGGATGGGGTGCCCACTCTATGGGATATTCCATGGGGTTCCGTCAAGCCGCCGATGTCACGATCTCGTCAAAGTGCCCTCGAGTGATGCGAGATTTACCTCTCGTTAAAAAAACCATCTCCAAAGGGTGATTCTTAAGGAGATTTCAATCCCAAAGTGTATCGGATGTTAATGACTGATTTTTAAATATTAATCATTTGGAGGTTGAAGGGGGTTGAAGGAGATCTGTGCCCAGAGAGAGAGAGGGAGTCTGCGCGGAGATTGACACTCGTTAACTCAATAATTCTTCCGGGGGTTGGTGGAGTTCCTTTGGGTATAAACATTCCTATAGATCCAGGAACTCGGAACTCGGATTCTCGGCTGAGGTGGAAACGCGGAATAGAGGGAGTTCCCGCGGGATTTAAAAGAGGAAGCCACGGTTTTCGGGGCTAATTCGCTTATAGGGACGGCCGCGACCCTCCGCCATACTTTTCCTCCCTTTCAGGGCGCATTATGTTTCGGCAAAATGGTCGGTGCACACGTGACAGCTCGATGGGGTGTTTTATGTTGAATACACAATATCCCACCCACACAGCCTCCCCGGTTCCCGGCGTCCGCCCACCGCCACCCCTTCGGCTTTCGCCAAGTCTACGGGGCCGGGGGAGCAACCCCGGAGTCGAGACTGTAACGACGCACGTACCACCCCCGTCCGTGGGGAGACGGATTCAAAGAGCCGCTCTTTCCTTCCCCGGGCTCCTCGCTCCTTCCTTTTTTAATTCGCAAAAAAGTTATTCCCAACCGGGAGCGGCCGGGTGAAAAGAAACGTCGCTCGAATCCGCGAATGCAATAGCGAGCTCGCGGATAGCTGCGCGTCGAGATGCACCCCCTCCTCGCGAGGGGTGCTTTTTCATGGTTTCCACGGTTTTCACGGATTTCAACCTGCCCGAACGGGGTGGGACACTGAGAGTTACGGATGTGCCCGACCGAAGACGGGGAGGAAATTTCAAAAGATCCTCCAACGAGGCGTGTAATGAAATCATATTACCGAGGGGTGGGGGCGGAAGGGGTGAACTCGTCGACCGGGAGTGGGGACGTCTTGTCCACCTAGTGGACATTTTCCAGGGTGTACGGCATTAATCGAAGCGGCCTTTCCTTCCTCGAGGACATGCTCTCGTCTCGTCTCATCCCTTGAAATCCGAGGGGGTGAGGGGGCACCGAAAACAGGGGGCTGGGGAGCCGCGAGACGAAGTTTGCATTGTTACGGAATCGAGTGTCGCGTTTGCTGACTGCCGACAATTTGAAAGTTTTAATTTGAGTTTGAGGATTCATTAGGGACATTATGCTCCGCCGGGGCATTCTACGGCAAACTTGGAGGCACCCACGCGAGCCACCCCCGGGAACCCACCCCTCGAGAGCACCGTGCCACCCCGTCGGCGATCTCCGACATTTTTCACTTAGCGAGGAAAACAGCGACCCGATCGCGCCACTCCAAGTTCCTCCCCCCCCGACTGTCTATAAACCCCTCTCTCGGTTTTCCCAAATTTTCATGAGATATTTCCAATAAATCGGGAAAAAAATAATTACCACCCCCGAGGGGACATTCGAGAAACTCTATTTTTCATGCCGGCAAAAATCGGCGCTTTCCATGCCGACTGATTTTTCGGGATTCGAGACCGAGGGGACAACCTCCACCCCATGGTGCAGGAAAGTGCAACAACCCCCGGGGATTGAATTTTTCGTCGCGAGCAAGCATAGCGTATAACCTCGTTGCCAAGATCGCAGTAGAATCGATACTTTGGCTGAGTCGTCGGATGTTTAGGGTGGGCGAGCTCCGCGGGGGTGGTTTTTGAGGGAGATGTTTCGTTCCTAGGCCGTGGGTTGTCCCCACCCGACAGCCCCCCGGGATAATCTCCGTCCCTCGGTTTTTCCCCTACCGCGGCCTACCCCGATTCGCCCCACCCCGTCGACCCACCCCCGAGGGGTGAAAGCGCCCCCGCCGCGGCGTAAATGCGGAGGGGCGGCCGGCGCGACGGGGGGCGGGGGTGGAACCTTCCGGGGGTGGCAGAGTTTTGCCGGGTACGTGGCATGGCCACTGACGCGTGTGCACACGGGAAAACTCTTCCTTATTTATATGCCCCGCCATGGCGAATCGATATTTCGCGTGAATTCTCGCAGAAAAGGAGGAGGCCCCGGGGGGGCGCAGGGGGGGGCTCCTTCTCGCCAGAAAGGTCCTCCGCCATTCCAGGACTTCTTCCTTGGCCTATACGTCTTTGTTCACACACGGAATCAAGCCTTGCCACGAAAATCTCCGAGGAATAAAATACCGGGTGCACCCGTGAAATCAATTTGCGCAGCTTAATTTGGAGTAATCTCGCGACGCGTCCGTCGATTACCCGTAATTAGGAGGGATGAAAAGGATCCCAACCCCTGGAGGAGGAGACAGTTGCCGGGGTAAATAGGTGGGACTGATTAATATGGAATCCGAGAACCGTCGTTAATATGGACCCGGCGTGATCTAATTAACATCTCGTTATTACACCTGCCCACCCTCGAGTCGTCGAGAAGGGGTAGTTCAGCAGGTCCGGCCTGGCCCCCAATTAAGGGAAGATAAAGGAAGCTTTTGTCCGGCTCCTTCACCCCCTGGATTAATGTAATTAATAATTGATACGCGGCGCGCATTACTCCTGTATAAATAATCATCCCCTAATTATTGCGACCCCCCGGGTTCCGAAAGGTTCCCTCAGGTTCCTTGAGGGTCG